AAAGTAAGAAGTAGCGATGCATTTATCGTAAAGTACAGGAGCACATTTCTTTAGAGCAAATACCGTTTGTATACCGTTGAATCCGCAAGCCTTGTGCGAATCTAGGTTAGACTTAATGTATTTCAAACCGAATTTAAATTGATTAAAATGATTTTTTTTCTGATTTGGATTTAAACCGATAAAATCATTCATGTTGACAAATCTGTCAACACAACATTATTCTCTTAATTAAAAAATCTCTTAAAAGTAAAACATTCTTTTTTCAAAAACGTTATTTGAGAAAATTAGCTGATTTAAACTTTAATTAATCCGAAATGAAACTGATATTACTTACTTGCAGTTAAAATATCACGAAAAATCATTGTTTTGGGTTTTTTTTTTAACTCGGAAGTGAGTGTTTTTCTGAGATGTTGAGTGATTTATTGACAACCTGATGTTTAAGGAGGATATAATTTCAAAAATACTCAACGAATACAGCGTGAATGATATATATATATATATATATATATATAACTACCCAGTAATCTTAAAAATTTAAGAAAATAACAAAAGCTAAACAATGGTCTTTGACTCTATAACCATACTCATGAAGGCGCTTGTTGAGAAAAAGTTATAAAAATTACGAATAAACTTTAAATTTGTTATAGGCACTTCTCTTATTTTCACATAACATCGTGTATGGACGTACGTATTAAAAAAAACACGTTTATACACAAAAAAATAAACAAAAGTCTTTTTAAAATACTACAAAATCTCCTACAGAAGTTAGCAACGGAGAGTGACAAGAAAGGACTAAGCACAAATTACAAGAAGACAGACTGCATGGTCATCAGTAAAAGGATGAATCCGAAATGCGATTTGCAGGTCAGGAACACTAGAATCAAGCAGACGCGGAAGTTTAAACATATGGGAAGCGTTTTGACAGAGGACGGTAAGTGCAACACTGAGACCCGTAGACGTATTGGGATGGTCAAGGACGCATTCCAAAAGCTGGACAGAGTATTGCGAGACAGGAGGAATTCTTTGTTTACAAAGAAAATAATACTGAGCTCTTACGCGACATCTGTCCTTCTTTACGGCAGCGAATGTTGGACGGTTTCCTTAAAGATGGAGAAGAGACTCGAAGCAACGGAGATGTGGTTCTACAGAAGGATGCTAAGGATACCATGGACCGAGCGTGTGAGCAACGATAAAGTCTTAGAGAGGATGCAAACAAAGAGGAGGCTTATACGTAACATCAGGAAGAGGCAGCTGAAATTTCTGGGATATATAATGAGGAAAGAGGGCCTGGAGAATCTGATACTCACGGGTCGAATAGAGGGAAAAAGACAAAAGAAAACAACGCATGACATAGCTAGCGGGATTAGCAAGTGGATGACAGAACGTGGTCTATTCGAGGTAGTAGTAGGAAGGAACTTGTTGAGAGCTTCAAGGGATAGGAGGAGGTGGAGAGCCATGATGGCCTACGCCCTGAAGGACATAAAAAGAAGAATGGGGTGTTGAATTGAACTTTCCATTTATGATTAGTAAATACAGTTTTAATTTAATAACTATATTACTTGGTCGTTCAAGTAAATTTTTAAGATTTAAAAGTTTATAAATTATTCTAATTAAAATTTAATAAGATGAAATTTTTTATTGAAATTTTTATTAAAATTAATTATTCATCGAAAATACTTTTAAGATAATAGTGTCCATTATATATTTTATTCATAAAAGCAATTAAAACTTTTCTAATTAAAAAAATGTCCTCATTTTATTGCATATTTTATTTTACCATTCAGGAAATATTTTTTGTAACTGGGTGTTCCGGTTGACAAAAAATATTAATCTATTATTTCTCCGAGGACTTGTCCTTTTAACAAATATAAACTTTAATCGAAAAAAAAAATGTGATTTCATAAAAATGAAATGGTTGTGGTTGCGTAAAAGATGTTATATATTCTAAAAAGAGAAACGTTTAAAAATAATTTAATTCATTTGTGAGTGTGTTCCGAAAGTTTCATTAAAATCCGACAATTATCTAACTTTTTGCAAGAATTTTCAAATCAGTTTTTCAGCGTAAAAAGATGTTTGAATTTCCTGCACACGTATAAGGTCCCACGTTAATGTTAAAAAAAGAAAGAAAACAATTTTAAAAAAGATGAAAAAAAAATTACATTAAAATATACGATTTTTACGATAAAATTTTGTATTTATTGTATGGGATAATTTTTACATCATGTACCTTTTCCTTTTCTTTTTTTTTTTTTTTTTGCAAATTTTTTAAGTTACCTACTATAAAAAAAAAGAGCTGATTCTCTGTCGATTACATTCTGTCTGCGTGTGACTTTCCATGCGAGTCTGGGGTGACTGAAATGTGCTTTTTTCATCTCGTTTTCGTGAATTGAAATCGTTAACGTCTGCTAGATTTGATAATTAGCCTAGTCTGTTTTTTTATTTTGTTTTTATTTCCCTCTCTCAATGAGACAGAAATCTACTAATTTCAAATTCAACAGAC